CTTTGCAATCCGCTATCCAAGCCAGACAATAGGCCTGTGGCCTCACCAATGTATGAATGCAGAAACGCTGGCTAGAGCCCATCTCCAGATTGGGCTGGGAAGAGTTGGATCCTGTCATTTTGTTTTTTATTCTAATGTTTGTATCCTTTTCACACAGCTTTACTTATGACTGGCTTTTATTTAGCCCTCAAGCTTAACATTTGGAACTTCTATTTGTTGAGTTTTTTTCATCATCTTGGAAAATAATGTTGATTCTTCCAGTAAGCATCTTTCTTTTGTGTTTTGTTTCATTTTCTATTCTATATGAGTTCTTATCCAGTAGCTCGTTGAAACAACTGAAGCAATTAAAGCAACCAAGTCACTAACATCTGGTATGTGTTTGCTTACTCTCTTATGCTCTCTCTAGGGCAAGAAGTGTGTGCTTTGGAATGGTTAGCAGTTTATTATGTTATGTATGAATACTTGTTGTTTACAGAAGATCAAAGAGGTTAATGTTACACTTCAAGTTGAGAGTTGCAAAGTTTTTGGTAGCTCTGTGTTCTCAGGATGTTCACGACACAAGCTTTGGCACTCCAGGAAAACATCGTTTCCAGCTAAGCACAGTTTTGAGTAAAAAAGTTGGTTGAGTGAGTAATGGGTTCCCTTGAGTAGAGAGCATGTTGTGCTGAGACAGAAGTTGTCATTTGTGGTCTGTGCCCTGTAGCTGGAGTCACTTGTTTAAATGCCACAAATTGTTCTGAGGGTGCCTGGCACAGCAATGTCCTGGTCCGTGGCTCAGGGATCAAGGTCCCTGCAAGTCAAACAAGACATCCTTCAGATCATGAAGCTCCTCTTGACATAGTTATCATGAAACTTTCCTGTACATTCTTGCCTTAATCTAGAAATCACTTAATAGTAGTATTATAGCAGGTTCCAGATCATGGCCTTCATAAGCAAGATCCATTTTCTCTCTGTATCTTGCACAAATTATGACTACAGTGCCCTCAAAACAAAGCAATAAATTGTTGCTCACTGAATTTATTATACAGAGCAATTACATGGAGGCACCATTATGAATATAATCTGCATAATCAATATGGTTTTATATTGCTGTCTCAACAGTAAGTTGGAGTTTAGTGTACTAAGGATTTGCTGAGCACTAAGTTCTTGCTTTAGTTATGTCTGGTAAAACTTACTTTGTGTTTTTTATGGTCAGAAGTGCCCCCAGATAATCTGAGATCTTGCCTGTTTTTTATATACTAGCTTGCATTGCTAGTGCTCTTATCTTAATGGATTGATGAAAGTGAGGTAGAGTTTTTACTCACTGAAATTAATCAATAAGTAGAGTCTTTTTTGTTTTGAAGAGACTTTGACCTCCAGTCACCCCAGTCTATGAGATTTATTATTTTTTTTTTAATTTATAGTGTTGTAAAACACAACTTGGCTCTAGATCATGAGAGGAGTGTGGTACTGTTTATCATCTGAGTCCTGCTGCCCTTCATCTGTGAGCAGAGATCAGTGTTTTTATTTTATGTCTTAATCATTCCTAAAAACTGAGCCTTGGGAAATTCCTGGAGCAACCATGTGTTACAGTCATTCTGTTAGCTAGTAAATACCTGTCTTCAAACTACGTCTTAAGGTGTAAAATCACTTCTATGTACACAGTTTATCATGCCATAAAAACTGACTATTCTCTGTCTTGCTTAGTTAGAAAGCAATATGTCTCATATAGTGCTTTCACCACCCCCCTAAGTCTTAGCAGAACAAGAACTTTATCTTGATTGTATGGTGGGCTATGCACACAATAAAATTAATGTTTCAAAGTAATTTGGATTTAAAATAAGTTGTTTAAAGGGGGTTGTAGTGTGACCAGAAAAAGAAATGCCTTTTCTTGTTTTTCAAAATAATATTTTTCTTTCACTGTATAAATAAAGCTCACTCTGGATAGAGATCTTTTTTTGCAGAATTAATTACCAGAGCAAATATGTAGTTTCAGAATCTTCTGGGCCTGGTTGTTCATGTGTTATACGCACCAGTAGTTGTTATACACAGGGAGATATTTATAAGATTTTCGGTAGCTTTGGTTGGAATGGGTCCCATGAAGAAGCAGAAATAGAATACGTGAGGTTTATAGCATCAGACCCTGTGTTCCTACTTGTATGAAGGACTATCAGAAAATAATGCAAGGGAAACAGTAAGAGAAGACAGCACTGAGTAGATCTCTAGTGAAGTTTGTGACAAACCTAAAGAAACCCTTGCATGTGGGGAAGTTAAAGGTGAGGGGAGTGAGAAGATCATGGCTCAGAAAGTCCTTTCTAACCTCCCCCTAAACAGAAAAAATGAATCTGTATTAAAACCTGATATGCCTTAACTTGTGCCCTGAAACCCTGCCACCATAAGCTCCCAGTGATCTATTTCTCTGTTCACACCCTGTCTGGAACGCACTGGAGTGGCAAGAAGGCAACAGAAGCCCTTTCCTTCATGGCTGTTGCAGGGAGTTTCTGCTCCTCAAAACAGTAGGTGTTCTCCATCACAGAGAAAAAAAATCATTGCATTTTACAGATACTATGGAACAGTCTCAGCTGGAGAGATTCAACTTCTGGTTGATAAACTCTTCAGCCCTCTGGGCAGTTTGGCGCTTTCTCTCTCAGCATGGATCTGTATCTCCATTTCCTTCTCCTCTCCTTGGCTTTTAATCAGAAGTTTGAACCAAATTCTTAAGGCTTTTCCCATTTCCACCTTTTGCTATAATCAACAAGTGACAAGGACAACACTGTGCATGAGGGTTCACCCTACTGTGAAGCGGGATGAGGTTGTCTCCCTTCAGGTCTTGCTGCAGTAAAAGGAGGTTGGGAGCTCTGCAGCAGAGTGGGTCCCTCCAAGGCAAGCAGCCTTGCTGGATCCTCCTGTTTGGGACGATAGACTTGGGATCAGTAGCTGGAAAATGGCTCCACCTCCGTGATGCAACCAGTTCAGTCAGTTTGTTTAAAAAATTAGGAGGAAGTCAGTTCTGGATTAGATAGAGATGCGTAAGAAGTTGCATAGTGAGTTACTCTGGGTGACTGATGGAGCTGTAGCTGGCAGAGGTGGAGATGCAGACTTATCTCTGTTCAGGGTATTCGCGGTTGATTCACATCAAGAGATCAGTTCAGTTCAGTTGAGTCTTCCCTTCTCCACAAGACCCCGTGGCTCTAGTCTTTTATTTGAAGCTACGGAAAGAAAATAATTGCTATCTTTACAAATTCAGGGTGTGGGGCTATACAAGTCAAAAAAACTAGTCCATTAATACAAGTACCTGAGGCTGAGTGAAAGCTGAATTGTTCTAGCTGACAGTGAATAAAGATTGTGGGGAGGGGTTATTTTTTTCTTTTGCCTCCTGCTTGTTCTGGTGGTGTAAAGTGGGGCTCACCCTTGAGGCCCAGTATTCCAAGCATCCACTCTGGCACTTCTTAAAGTCTACAGTGACTCCTGTTTGAGGAAAATGCCCAGGTTTCTTTTATGTAAAGCAGTGCTAGTGCTCCTTTCTCATGCTGACATACAGCAGGGATACAACCATGGTGCACACATTACGAACAGAGAAATAGGTATAACCTTAATGACCTTCATTAACTGAGTCAGGAGATCTTGAGAAGCAGCAAAAAATCTTCAAACTCTAACGTGTCCTAACTTTGAATCATAATTGGTGCTATTGTGGGAGGCACTGAAAGATGGACAGGTATAGAAATTACTGTCTGTTCCTTGAGTAGCTTCCCCAAGTCATTAAAGAGCACCAAAGCAATTTCTTTGCATTATATGAGTCCATCTGTTAGGACTGGAGAATTACAATACTCTCTTGTCACATTTAAAATTCATTGACTTTCATATTAAACTGAAATAAATTAGCTTAGTATACATCAATTAATGTTTAAGTGTCAGAGATCAAAAAAAATTGTTCTCCTCATGATCAGAAGTTATAAATAATCTCATGACAAGTGTAGAAACTGCCAATTTTGGCTTGAAGACAGCTGTTCCTTAGAAGGAAAGCAAGAGCTAAGTTCTGAAAAAGTTAACTTATTTGCTAGTAACTGTATCTACCTTTTTGAACTCAGTTTCGGCTGAATGGTTTAACTTACAGTAAAATTTGGAAACACTGAAATGTCTTCTGTCTGTCTGCAGGTATCCACAGTTACTTACTGAGGCAAAATTTCTGTGGAAGTTCCATCTCTGGAAGCTCCTGTTTCCAGAAATGACCTTTCAACACCAACTTCTCAGCGTTACCATAGTGGTTGTGGCTATGCTGTGGCAGAATAGGAATTGCTTCTGGAACTGACCAAGGGTTGTGACACTCCAGGTGAGTAGGAAGGCATGTAGAAAGATACCTTGAGGGAGTGCAGATACCCAAATATGTACTAAACAAAACTCTGAAGTCAGGAACTAGAAAGCTTCAGATACACATTTGATATGTTTTCAAGAATACAGAATGCTTTTCTGTGGATGACTCTAGAAAGAAATTAGTTGATATGACAACAGAAGTAATTGTAGTCCACGTTTAAGCAGATAACGTTGAAAGCAGTGGGTTATAAATTGCAAAATTAGATAAATCAATACAACTCTACTGAAACCATAATTGAAAGACACCTGCTCTTAAATTTGTCCTAAATGTTTTGATGGATTAACAAGTTTTCTATCTTTAAACTAAAGATTTTTACGTCATTAAAATTAACTTATTTCATGATTTAATTTCAATGTGATAGTAGAACAGAGACTGATTTACTGATGAATTAGGCATTCTTCCTACATACTAGAAAAAAAGAAGGAGAGCTAAACCAGAACCTATTGCTTTCAAATTTACTAAAGCTGTGTTAAACCACCAAACTGATTTAAACCTACTTCTGTGAAATGCTGAATAATGGTATTTGTAACTTCTTTTCTTTTTTTTTTTGTTATAGCATTTCCCAGTAACCGGAGAGGGAAAAAAGAATGTGTCACAAGAGCAAAACTGAATTAAATTCTCTAACAACATCTTATGTTCTTTTCAGGTTCAATGTAATCTCATTGGGCACCAGTAGTGGAACTCGTCTGTTCAAAATGGTCTATGGTGAATTTTTCCGCAGACCTGGCAAAGATGCAGAACTTATCAATTTGAATGTGGGTGGCTTTAAGCAATCAGTGGATCAAAGCACCTTGCTCCGATTTCCCCATACCAGGCTTGGGAAACTTCTCAAATGCCATTCAGAAGAGGCTATTCTAGAGCTGTGTGATGATTATAGTGTTGCAGACAAGGAATATTACTTTGACAGGAATCCTTCCTTGTTCCGATATGTTCTGAATTTTTACTATACGGGCAAACTTCACGTCATGGAAGAACTTTGTGTCTTTTCCTTCTGTCAGGAAATAGAGTACTGGGGGATAAATGAGCTGTTTATTGATTCATGCTGCAGCAATCGGTACCAAGAAAGGAAAGAAGAAGGTCCTGAGAAAGACTGGGATCAGAAGAGCAATGACAGAAGTATAGACTCCTCTAACGAAGAGTCATCCATATTTGATAAAGAGCTGGAGAAGTTTGACAATCTGTGTTTTGGTGAAATAAGAAAGAAGATCTGGGTCAGAATGGAAAATCCTGCATACTGCTTGTCTGCCAAGTTAATTGCCGTGTCATCCCTGAGTGTTGTCCTGGCGTCAATTGTGGCCATGTGCATTCACAGCATGCCAGAGTTTCAAAGGCTGGACGCCAATGACAGGGAGATTGAAGACCCTGTGCTGGAAGCTGTGGAGATTACGTGCATCATCTGGTTCACTGCTGAGCTAGTGATCAGGCTCATCACGGCTCCAAGTCAAAAGAAGTTCTGGAAGAAACCGCTGAATATCATTGATTTTGTCTCTATTATCCCATTTTATGCCACATTGGCTGTGGACACGAAGGAAGAAGAAAGTGAAGATATTGAAAACATGGGGAAAGTGGTTCAGATCCTGCGGTTAATGAGGATATTTCGCATCCTGAAACTGGCCAGGCACTCCGTAGGACTGCGGTCTTTGGGTGCCACTTTGAGACATAGCTATCAGGAAGTTGGACTTCTGCTTTTGTTTTTGTCTGTTGGGATTTCTATTTTTTCAGTGCTTGTCTACTCAGTGGAGAAAGATGATGACTCATCAGAACTGCACAGCATCCCTGTTTGCTGGTGGTGGGCAACCATCAGCATGACCACTGTTGGTTATGGGGACACTTACCCGGTCACACTTGCTGGAAAGCTGCTCGGCACCCTATGCATTATCTGTGGGATACTAGTGGTAGCACTTCCAATCACCATTATTTTCAATAAGTTTTCTAAGTACTATCAAAAACAAAAAGATATTGATCCAGACCAATGCACCAATGATCGCAAAGAGAAATGTAATGACCTACCTTATTTTAACATTAGGGATATTTATGCAAAAAAGATGCACTCCTTCATTTCTAGCCTTTCTTCAGTAGGAATTGTAGTCAGTGACCAAGATTCAACAGATGCCTCCAGCATCCAAGATATGGAGGATGTTTATAACACAACATCTTTAGAGAATGGTACAGGAAAATGAGTTGAATCACATTCTCTTCCCTTTATTTCTCTTCTGATTCTTGGTAAATGTGGACTTACAAACTTCAGTGAATTTATTAAGAGCAGTTAATTCTCAGGGTACTTAACTCTCAGCCATATTTGGACATTCTTTGCTCTGAGGATGCCATAAAAGCTTCATTGTTTATATGAGGCTTCAAAATATGCCTCATATGGTGGTTTAGTTTTTACACAACAAATATTATGCATTTTTGGGGAGAAAAAGTCAGGAAAAGTTTAAATGTGGGATCAGTGTTTGTTTGGTTTTGTGGGGGGTTTTTTGGTTTATTGGTTGTTTTTTCCCCTGCAGCAATCTGATAGCTTATACAGACTCTGCTTTTATAATTTGCTGCTTTTCAGGTAGAGATATATTATAAACATATAAGAACTACCGCACAAGTCAGTGAAGTTTTTACCTGTAAATACATCAGGAAAAAGAAGGAATTATGTACATGTAAAACTGTGCTCACTAGCACATTTATATAATCATGGAGTTGGGAACTCGTTTCCTAAGCTGGAGCAGAAAATATATTGGTACATATTGTTTTTACTCCATGGAAGCATAATATTTGTGAATTTCTTTCCAAAAGCACAATACAGTTTTAGTTTGTTAAAATAAATTAATCCCATTGTGCCTATATTTTTCCCAGTGTCCCACATGGTGAAGGTCTGTCAGGTCCTAAAGGGTCTACATCACGAGTCCCAGGATGAACGGTCTGGTGTAGGCAGGACAGGAGCTTATTGTACCATTTAGCCACCTCTTCTGCCTTTGTGAACCTGAGCAATTCCAGTGTGTGGAGAGGATCCTGCTGTGATTAAGACCACCCCGGTGGCTTCCCCAGGGACTTTGTTTTGTGGGCACTGAAGCAAACATCTGTGGTGGTCTTTAGAAGTTATTGCTCCCTGCTGTCGGCACTATTCCTTTGCTGGAGGTTACTGCATCGGTGGTAGAAGCAAATGTGAGCAGCATCTCGACTGCACTGGTTCTCAGTCCAGGGCTGTAATGCCAAGTAGCAGAGATGTGTGGACATGCTCTCCTCTACCATATATCGCTCATCAGAGTTGCAGGGTGAGCACTGAGTGTAGGCACCCATATATGAAATTATTTCAGCTCCTTTGTCTAGAGCTCATTTGTTGGTGACAGCAGCTTTCCTGGTTTGTACTAAGGGCTGGAGTGATGCTCATTGCCTGGCAGAGTGCTGCAGCTCTGTGCGTTCCTCTCCTCTCCAGGGATTTCTTATGCAGCCAGCTAACTCTGCTCTGGTTCAAACTGGATCTTCTAGGGCTATTTAAAAGGAAAGCCAGCCCTGGAGTTTAGCATAAAGGAGTGCAGGAGAATCTCGAGGACCTTACAGAAGTCCATAGTGTTTCTGAAGACTCATTTTCTTTCATTTGTCTAGTGACTAAATTAGATGCTGGGCAATGGAGAATCAAAGATACTGTGATGTTGGTATTTTCCTTAAAGAGAGGTTTAACTGTTGTTTTGTTTTGTTTTGTTTTTATTATTGGGCCAAATGCTGAAGCCCTTACTGAGTTTCTACTTAGACAGGTCAAACTCAGTAGGAGTTGACTTCAAGACTGAGTAAAACCAGAAGATACCGATTGATTTTAGCCTCTGCAGAGGGTTGATTTTTCAGGTATCTGCCAGGTTTTCTATTGCAAACTACATTGGGTAAGTAGCTGAGGTGCACTTATATTTACTGAGGCACAGAGCTCTAACGTCTTTCTGAGATAGAGAAACAAAAAGGAATGGAATGGGTCAACCTATATCTCAGAAGAAGGTGTCTCAGGACTGTTGTGCACCAATATAGTGATGGGATCTAAAGAGAATATTTTGAGCTTTGGAGAAACTTAAAAATTTGGCTTATTACTTGCTGAGTGTCGTAAGTGTATGTGATGCTTCACAGATAATTAAGGTTAATTATTCCCATAGTTAGTGCAGGAATACCAAAAGGGAAAGTTAGCCTAAACGTGTTTTGTTCTTACTGAACAACCAACATTACAAAAATGCAATGATATATAATATTAAATACGTATGTGCATATGAATCTAATAGGAACCAGCAAAATAAAAGCATAAAAATTACTCTCTATCCTTAAAGAAACCCTCTTAGTAGTCTCCATATAAAGATATATTAAGTTGCCACTGAAGTTCAAAAGCAATGAAAAATATTGTAATGCAACAAAAACTGCAAGAAATTTGTACTAAATAGTTGAAAAAAATGTGCTACTGAAAAATCTCATTTTATATATCAAGCATTATCCAAGGATCACAGAGTATACAACTTTTTGTATTAAATTTTACTGACTGGTAATTTATCATGAAATTGATAAGCTCTTGATCAAACATATGAATCAATCTTAAGGTTATGACACTGTTTAAGTTCCTCTGACTTTTTTATGCATAGATACAGCTTGCAGCAAAGTGAGAGATGTCTTTTGGATCATACCAGAAAGTAAAGTACATATCCATGTATCATGCAGTGTATGCTGTTTTGATTTCAGTGGGGAGATCTTTTTTTTCAAATCAGTTATATCTTAGAAAATGGCTTTGTTGTTTTCTGTTCCCTTTGCTGGAATAAATCCAGCACCTTGGTTTCACATAGGTGTAACTGGGAGCAGGATGTGAGCTGTGTTTTCTGCCGAAAGATACCCCCCTCAGGGCAGAACTGCGGCCCTGTAACATGTGCTGGTACTGGAGAGAGCCACAAGTCTTGAGTGCCAGAAGAATGCAGATGAGGGCAAATACTGAGATACCGTACATTCCTCCTGCTAGTAAAAGTTTTTAGTAGAAGAATTTACTAGTAAGAAATAAGCACAAGAGGGGGTTGTTTCTTATTTAATTTGTCTTCTTCCTTGGTCTTCAGTTACGTATTATCAATATGTAGTATCGGTGTCAACAGAAGGTAGATTATCTGTTGTTTTTGTATTCCCAAACCACATGTTTTTCTCTTTAAAAATGCTTCCTGAATTCTCTCCACCCAGCTGCTCTGTTTCAGACACCAAAGCACAAAAAAGGTTACAGTTCAGATATGAATCCCATTTTGTATGGGGGAGATTTGTTTGTCTTTATGCAAAACAGTTTACTGGCATGTTATTAGTTTCTTTGACTTGATGGCAAATGCTTCCCTTTCGATACCCAGTATTTCCACAGTAGCATCCATCTTTGCAGCAGTTTTCCCTAGTGTAGCATGGGAAGACACCGCTGCACCATGCTGCAGTTCCCTGTTTGAGTAGCTTCCAACTGGCAGGGGGTATCACCCGGCTGCTCACAGCTCGTGCCTTGCTGGGAGCGGGCTCTGCCACTGCCACCATTTTTCGGTGTGTGTTAGAAGAGGAAAAAGGCCAACGTACAGGAATGAGAAAAGAGAAATGGAAGAAAGTAGGAAGCTGTCAATCAAAAGAGATGGTGGAAAAGCCTGAGAGGACCTTAGTTTTTTGAAAGAGAAAGAAGTTGATAGAAAGAGTCCTCACTTGTCTTCACTTTATTTGTTGTTTTTTCCACCGGTGCTTTTCTTCCCTTTCCTGCCCTGCTGCCTCGCCTCCCCTCCTGCTACCACCCTGGCCTCCCTTCCCACCCAGCCTGTGGTCCAGCAGTCCTGGTTTTGTCCCGGAACGAGGGTCTTTCTGAGCCCAGAAAGGCAAGTTTCATCCACCTGGACAGCAACAGGCAGAACTTAGCAGGGACGAAATTAGCGATCACTCCTGCTGTGTATGTGAGCAGTCATTAACATGCTTACAGACTGTGATTTTTTTGTAAGAAAAGTCACAATGTGTCTGAAATCAATGAGCGTGAACGTGAGCTAAATAAATCAGCACATCTGTGTCAGCCCTGTAAACGAAATATTGCTTATGGGTTAGGTAGAAATTGGTGTCAGGCACCATAATATGAAATATTACCATTTAAAAGCAGACTCCATGATGATTCCCATGCAAGCGGGTTGCTGTCAGGGTGTGCTGAGAGTATCAGGCAGATTTGACTGGCAAAGGCAGTATATGGGCTTGTGACGTGCCAAGGGCTCCTGTCAGGCTGCTGTGTATTAATACATTTATTAATTTCTACACATTCCTAATATCTAGAGCAAGTGACAGAAAACCACTAAGCTGTGGAGAGTTTCTCTAATATTTTTTGATTAGCTGACAGTGTTTGTGAAGCTGCTAATACCTCTTCATCCAAAAGAAGACATTTCTGAACCAAAATGAGAATAACCCTGTGCTAGATGTGCAATTTGTGGCTGATAGCAGTAGCTCGGTCGCAGTTGGTAAATATTGTTGTCTGGTGCTCTATAGCTTCAGTGCTGTTGCTTGTATTTCTGAAATGTTTATGCTCTGTCAATCAAGAGACAACAGATGCCATTAAAACTATCTCAGCACTTTCCCGCTGCACAATAACTGCAGTGTCTCTTCTAAGCGCAGCAAAATGTCATGACTTGCTGAGACCTCATTTTTATTTTTTTGTGTAATTGTAGTTAATTTTTCATGATTAGCCTATAGTCCAAGCACAATCGAGCAGAAGAAAAAGTCATTGTGTGTCTCTAGACAAGTTACAAGACTTTTTTATTGACTTCCACTCTGGGCATTGCCCTCCCACCTCACTGGCACAACTAAGGAGGTACAAGGAGTGGTAATTCACTGTGGTATAGACTAATAGCTGTTACAGGTAGTTAAAGAGTAAAAGGCAGAACTCCTGAGGGGTGGATATAGTTTACATGTAATTGTATATATGCCATCTGGGCAGAGCTCATTTAAGTGTATAATATAATCAGATTAAATATAAAATACGACACTTTCCCTGAGAAACCACCTACATCTTGTATCTTTTTAATGAATATATTGGAGGTGGCAGTCTTTGCTCGGTGTTTTAGCAGGTCAAGGGCTGCGGGTCAAGGGCTCTCTCATCCGCACATACATCAGTTTTCCCCAAATCACATACACCAGTGGGAGGAAGAGACTTGGCAGTATCCCAAACAGGCCCATGAACCTG